TTTTATTAAATTACTTACGTCATAGATGACGGTTTAATTACTTCCTCTATTTCGTGGAGAAGAAAATGAAAAGTTTCCTTGGAAAGACGGAATCTTTTCACGAATTCCCCATCTGAATGTCTATTGAGATGATTTAATCGTCTTCGTATTATTCTTTCGCTTCTTATAAGAAATAACTAGTTTATTTCCTCATCCCCAACATGAATAAAATTATCAATTTTTTAATATCACTGAACACGTGTACCGTTACAACACTCTACATATTCTGTTTGTGATTTGTGAGGTTAGGTTTCCTCATTTATCTATTAGATATCGACTTAACCCGGACCGAATCCACTGGTTATGGTTAAAGCAAGTTATCTTTGAGGTAAGGTTAACTATAAGATAAATGCAGCGGTACTATCCGATTTTTACGTTATCTTTTAGATGGCGCTAACTATGACGTTAACTATGAGTGGTAGTAACGGGCCTAAATCACTTAGCAATTGTTCGATTTCCTGACCAAATTCAGTTACTGATTTATTTAGTTGTCGAGCTTGATGAAGTTGCATCGTCAGTGTTGTAGCGGATTTTTTCGTTACATAATTATCACGAATATCTTTTATAAGCGCATTTACCGATATATATTAATCATAATAAATTTATTGGTGATGGGGATACAAAGTATTTTCACACGTCATTCTATTAAATACATTCACAGGTGTAAAATTAAATTTAGGAGCAGAAACGAGGAGCTGGTGCGATATCCCTGACAGCTACCGAAAGTCGTCAAAACAGTTTCCGAGAAACTCGTCGATACAGTAGAAGGCTTTTTTTATAAGATAAGACTTTATTCTACTGGTGAACTGTTTTTCCTTTAAGGATTTTACGTAATATTAATAGTATTAATAGATAATTTTTAATATTAGTTTTAATGAACTTTAGGCAAGTAAATATGTATAAGGATGGAAGCGTTAGATGGAGCTCAATGAAAGCATTTCTACAACAATCGGTGTAGGAAATGCCCGCATTCACCCTGACACATCTTCTCTGAGTCCGAAAAACACTGGCAGAGTGAGAGGAGTGACCACAACACAGTAAAGCGTAGGCCATACGTGAGAAAAAATATCCGTGGTAACAACTCATCAGTGCTCTTAGAGACACAACATATTTCAGTTGACGTATTAGATATATATTTTTAATTAATGTTTTACACAAGTTTATTGTATGTTGTTCCCAACTTAATTTAGAATTTAAAGTGACACCTAAATAATTTACTGGTTTAAGAGTTTGTTCGCTCTGTCGTAGCGAATAGTGAAGAATTTGTATTTTGGTGTTATTTATACACCTCTCATGCTTTCCACCATATCCACCAATTTTACCTGGTCACAACTACTATTTATCGTAGTCGTATCGTCCGCAAACATAACGAGCTTTGTAGGGTGGGGTGGTACCAGCGAGAGGCCGCTTATGAAGATTAAAAACATTTAAAACGTTTATTTAACCGAATTTTAGCGTTCTCGAACAGTCTAGTTTTTAGCACATACGTTATTAAAAATTTTTGGTCATCAGCTTGTAATAATTCAGAGTACAGTTCTATTGAACCTAAAAGTTTTTTAATAGTATCCGCACTACCATCCATAACGGGCAACAAACTACCCGCTGTTTTTAAATCAAATTTTTCCCCCATTTTTATATCTATTTTTAACCTATCTTTAAGAATATTACGAGGTTGTATAATAATATTATCTGTTTTATTAACATACTCTTTTATTTTACCTAAAACGTCTAAATTTGAAAAATCCTTACTTGTTTCTAATTTTAATACATCTATCCTATCTGAAAATGTATCTATATCTGCTAATCTTATTTGAGTTAATTCAAAGTTTTTCTTCTTTCTTGATTATCTTTAATTATATATGTCTTATTTACCTTAAGTTCTTCCAAAAGTTTTTTAAATTTATCCACTGTCTTCATAAAGCACTTTAGGTACGCACTTATTTACTGTTATACATTGTCGCACATAGACACTAATTCTTGACTCCTAGAAACTTCCAGCCGAATTCTTGTGTAATTCTTGTTCTTCATACACCGACGCCAAATGTATACACCCAGCGAATTCATTTTTGGCACCCCAAATTCGTATTGAAATAAGATACAAACATTGGAACAACAAGTAATTTATAAAATATATTTTTTATACTAATTTATTACAATTTACAAAATATTTATAAAAAATTAATTTTTCTTGCTTTCTTTGTTGCAAATTCGTTGAAAATGGAGTCAATATTTACATTTTTAACAATATCGTTTTCAATACTTATTAAAGACAAATTGTTCAGTCTCTCTGGACTCATATTTGCTCTTAAATAGTTGTTTATTATTTTAAGTTTTGAAAATGATCTTGTTACGCCTTAAAAAAAAAGGTAAACCAAAACGCACCCGAAATGAAAATTATGACAATTTTTGAAATTGTTACCCGATCGACACACAACCCGCAAAACAATTTACGTTATCGTTAAACCTAACCAGTTTGTTGCGAACTCCCCGGCAAACTCGTTTGGAGAAGGGAAGGTTCGATTTATTTAAGGCGCCACACAATCCGTTAATTCGCAACGGGCACTGATTGTGAAGTGATGTTGGAAACAAGAGTTCATACAATAACGAAAATTTAACAACACAAAGATATAGAGAGAAAATAAAGAAACTCAATAGATGCAGGTAAGCAAAATGATATATATATT